AAACATAAACGTCCTGCGTGACTTGTGTCTGTCTCACTTTGTGAGTCATACTTGAGGAGAAATGGATCTTCTCTGCCCACGTAAATTTTTTTTTCACCTCATGAAGAGACCAAATAAAAAAAGTTCTGTCTGTCACCCATGTAATAACACAACTGCCTGAGCTGAAAGCCGTTAAGAGTTTTACTATTGCTGTGACTCACCCATTTATGAGTTTAACTTTTAATTTTATATCCCACAGCAGGATGTTCTGTATATCACGCTGTCATTACAACTAAATATGTTTGTGTACCAAAGAAATTGTGGCAGAGCAGTAGTGGGTTCAGAGGGGTTGCATGGGTCCCCCCTGGAATCTGGTTGGCCACCCCCGGGTGCCTGCTCTATATCAGAGTCAGATAGTTATAAGAAGTTGGCTTGTTTGTATCATGGATGGATTACTGAACAGACCCACCCAGGGAGTCTGGACCAGAGCCTCTATATGAACGTAACATTTGGTAAACGACTAAAAAGAGACAATAAATGACCTCAGGGACACAAAAAGACCACAAAGAGATGCAAAATGACTATTATATTACACAAAATGACGACAAACAGACACAAAACAGGATGCAAAATGACTAAAAAGAAACTTAAGATGACTGAAAAAGATGCAAATATTACATTAGATGACTAAAAAGACAAAATGATTACAACGGAATGCAAAATTATGACAAAGACGAAAAGAAATGCAAAACAACAACTATATATATATTTATATATATACATATAATCCATACTACATACTCATTTCACCCCTGTCTTAAGGTGGAATGACAGGAAACACTACTGCTTGGGGTAACTGTTAAAAGCAGTTAACCTGCTGATTAAAACACAAACACGTGGGTGTGCTTTCTTGCACTTCCCATCAGTGGAGTATGTGACATTTCACAACTCTGTAAAATCACTCTGTCACTCAGTCTGTTAGACTCAAAGAAAACCAGTAGGTCTAACTGTCAGTAAAATGGAAAAGCCCAGAGTGGGAGGTGGGGACTTGGAGTAGATCTGGTGAAGTATGGATGGCTGCCACATTCCTCAGAGTGCAGGGGATTACAGAGGAGCTGGCCACTCGCCGTTGTCTTCATGACTCGCCTTTGCTATATCAGTCAGTCTCCAATTAACAGCCTGCATTGTCTGAAGGATTAGGAGCGGCGGGACAAGTCCCATTGGCCCACAGAGAGATCTCACAGCAACTGGCACAGGCCTTAATCCTGCTCAACATGTGCTCTAAAGGCAGACGAAGTGGGTGTTTACTATAATCCAGGTATCACATATCCTGGCTGCAAGGACTTGAACTCCGTAGTAAGCAGCACTTGAGTGGAGGACTTGAGTAATTTGGAGGAGGACCAGCCTTCCCAGCTAAAGATGACCAGGAGCAATTCTCCTTCTGTTAGGAAGTGTATTGCAGGAAATTTTCACAATAAACTAAATTCAATTCAGTTCTGGATTTCTGAGAAAATTTCAACATTTAAGCATTCAGTTTTTTAACAGAATGTCAGAAATATTAATCTTATTTCTTTAAATTTCTTTGTTTTAATCAGAATGATAAGGTCAATATAAGAAACCTTTTCTCTTATGTTGTATAATGACTAAACAAAACACAATTTATAACCTAAATCCGTCCTCGTGCTAGGTTGTTTAAAGGTCAAACTGGAAAATGGACTCATGCCTATAGTTTATACCGCAGCACAAAATGTATTTCATGGAGGTAATTTGCATCAATGTTGAGGTAAATGCAAATCAGGATGCAAATGATGATGTACAACCTCAGGCAATGATAAGTCCTCACTATTATTATAAGAGTGCACCATCTCAGAGACCTTATGGGATGGAAATTTTGGGTCTAATCACTGCAACACATCTCTGGGAGGATAACTCTGGGCAGAGTATGTATGAGCCGAGATAATGTGGTTAAATCTCCAATGTGGGTTGTTTTTAAGATGGTGGTGAACCACTGGATCATAACAAATCCTTCACACAGAAGATATAAGATAAAAGATTTAAAAGACCAGGAAGTGCTTTTAGAAAGTCATGGAGCATCACAGCGAGCAGGAGGCTCTCTGTGTGGAGTAAAAAGGTGAGGACTAATAAATCCTTCACTGCGTACGTGCTCCCTCTGACTGGTCTGGGTGATGTGTACAAAGGAGGAGGTGAGGTGTGAATAACGTGAGCAATGACTCCCAGGACACAGCTGCCTCCCTCTGAGCCCCCGGGCCACACAATAGACAAACCAGGCACCCTGTTTCCTTGCCCACTCTCTCTCTCGCATAAGCAACAAAGCAGCAGGATTCCCTCCAGAAACGGGGCACAAAGGTGCTCGCGGCCTGTGTTTGCATTCGGCGTTCATCTGTCCTGTGATGACAAGATGTGACATGTTGAGAAATGAGAAGTAAAAGTGAACACCGTGTGCAGTGACAGGGATGAAAGCAACGGTACTTTATACTACTAGAAATAGTCTACTTTTATACTTCATTAAATGTATTTTACAGCTAACTTTTTAAATTAAGATTGTTCATACAGAAATATATTATAGGCATATGAAATACAACACATTATTAAAGATGAAACCAGCGGTTCTTCATCTTTTTGGCTTGTGAGCACACCTAGTCATATCTAGTTCAGGCCCCTTGTTGTTATATTTCAGATGTCTATCAGTTGTTCCACCAAGGGAAGATTTCCCCTCTAAATTTCTCAGATGGTGTCATACAGAACTGTTTGAGACCCAAAGAGGTAAAATTCGTCAAAATATAAATCTAAATTTGTGTGTCAGAACTTCTTTCCTGCCACATTAATAATCACATGATCACAGATCTTTTTAATACTGTCAACCTTTTCACAAAGTATCAAGTTTCCTCGTGATAGGTAAACCATCATAAAGTCATATAAAAATAACCTTATAGTAAAGTGGTAATGCTGAGTGGTAACTGAGAGCAGGCGCTGGTTTGAAACCTCTTTCGTGAGAAATCTGAAATGCAATTGCAACTTTCCAGTGCAAGAATGAACCAAAATCACACTATTCACAACACAACAGCCATGTAAGGTTGTTGTTTGAGATTTCAGATGTTGATAGTTAGCTTGAATGCACTAATGAGGAATTCCAAAGCACTTCCTGCCATGTAATAAAAAAAGATAAGTGACTTAAATCTACAGTTGTAAAAGTAGGAACTACATCAAAGTGTTTATGGCACGCTGCTTTGGACGATGCTGGTCAGTAATGTACTGTAGACATGACTTGTATTTGCTCGGTTTATGCTCTGATATGGAGAAATTTCCTCTCACCAGAATTTCATCTGCAGAGTAAGAACCTTCAGGGTCTCAATAAAAAGGGCTGAGATGCTGCCTGCCCTGTGATTTAGGCTGATAAAACGGCTACATTTTTAAATGAAGTCTTGCCTTGTGCAGCTTTAACTCTCTCGTGTGTCTCCTGGCTGCCTTGCAGCTGCCTGGCATTGAGGAAAAGAAGAGCCGTGGTCTGACCATCTTGGCAGAGAGCCCAGCCAGTCTCAGGAAGTGTCTTTGGGGGGGGTTCAGAGGGTGCAGGAACCACCCTCACCCCACCACTCTGCCTTCCCCTCCCTCTCCATTCAGTTCCTCACCTCAAAGCATTAGTAATGCATTCCTCTAGTCCAGCAACAAGCAGGGTAATTCAATTTCCTCAACAGTGAGACCGTGTGAAATTTCATTTGCATCTTCTGGGTTTCTGTGTGTAAGACGGGTTGTAAAAACCTCTCTGCCTCCATCATGCTTTGTTTACTGCTTTGTTTAGATCGGCCCCGTCAATAAACAGCAGGGGACTCAGGAGATGATGTAATCTCTACAGTCATCTTTTGGGACCGAAAATACCTTTTGGGGCATTTTAATATTTCAGTAGTCTGGCCACATTTTGAATCAATGATGGAAGTTCAGTGAATAAAAAAATAAATAGTACAGCTTTACATAAAAAGTGTCCTGAAAATATAATTTGCCACTATACAAATAAAATTCAACTGAATGGTCCAAATATGTCGAGACTCAGAAGAGACAGTGTGTTTTTAAAGTAAAGAAGGTCCGCTCCCTCTATATTTTTATAATGCATTTCAACCCCCAGACATCCTCATGAGAAGCCAGTGTCTGGGGGCGACAGCAGCTGGCTGGCGCTATGAAGGAAGTTGACAAGACCAGACTGGTGGCCCGGTGCTGACACTGACCTCTCGCCTGCTGTCGGCCCCAGAGAGGTCAGAAACACAAAACTGGCTTTCTGCTCCGCTCAGAGTCATCTGCATGCAGGCCAGTGGTCTGTCACTGCACTGCAAAAGGAACAAACACCAACATATACACGCCGCATCTCTAGGAGAAATACAACTGCTACTTCCTCCAAAAGTCAATCCTAAAACTAAAAAAGGAGTTGGATTAGATTTGGAGTTTCTATATTCTTATATTGCCCTATTTCCCACAGGTATCACACAGTTTCTATTAATTCATTCTTAATTTGTGGCTCTTACGATGTCACTTGTAACTGGATCTGCATGATACCGGTTTATCCAGGATCCTCAATGTTGGGCTCAATGAAGCCAGGTAACACCAAGAGAGCCAGACTGAGCTGACTTTGATACAGGCCCCGGATCATCGATGGATCATCTTCAGATGTTTCATGAGGAATGTAATTAGTTTTATCTCTGTCACTCAGGTCCTGTTTTGTTGTGCTGTTTGTCCTTGTTGTAAATTAATGTTCTTATGTAACTATGTGAGATTTTCTTATTACAATATAAACATATTAGCAAAAAAAAGAACTGACCATTAGTTTGTTAGTATTGGTTAAACCCTTTCTTGTGCAATACTGGCCATTATAATTTCATATTGTAGAAATAGAAGAGTTGTGGCTTCTGTGTTCTACTTGTTAAACAATAATAAAACAGTGGTGGTGCTATGCTGCTACCTAGTGTCTGTTCCTTGTCAGGATGTAATAACAACACAATCCAATGAGCAGCTGAGCTACAGTTAAGCTTTGTTTAATTTTAAAACACAGCATTCAAGCTCAATATAACCACAGGTTTTACATGTACATATTTTAGAGATTGCAAAAATGATGTAAAAAAAAAAAAAAAAAAAAATTACATCTACAGTGATGTTCCAGAAATAAAAAAAAAAAACTCAACTCTTTTCGAAATTAAAATCTATTTACTGTATTCACATTAATGAAGCAACACATTGTGATTGCTACAGATTCTAAAACAAAATAAAACCTACAAGCAAATCAAATAGAAAAAAATCTTAAAAAATGTGAAATAAGCCTTTCAAGAAATTAAAAATTAAAATGTCACTTTTTTTTCTTCATTTTGTAAATGTTTATAATCTGTACAACAGCCTTGCATTACAAACAACAAAGAGAATATGACTACTACCCAAAAACAGAAAGATTGCATCAGTGTAATAATGTTTTACAGAGCATAAATGATTTGAAAAAGTCAGGCTCATTTTCTCATTTGATTGCACAGGCAACCGAGAGCTGTCAACTTTACAAACTGGCCTCAAGTAAGACATTGAAAAAGATATTCAGATAGTAAAAGAGTTGTGCTTAACTTGGCGGCACAGTCTCAAAAATCACCTCTTGTACTGGTCAAAATGCACATCTAGGAGAAGCAGGTTGAAGCGGCAGAAGTACAAACATCACAGTCCAGTTGAAGAACTGTTGTGTTTCAACAGGAAAGTCATCAGATTTCCACAGACAATGTCCAGATTATAGAGAGAGCAGTCATCACAATCCCTTCACAGCATCCACTCACTCTTATCTACTTTTGTTATAAATGCTAAAACACATTTGTGACACACTGCATTGCCGATGCATTACGTTTCTCTTTGAAATTCTCTTAGAAACTGCGATATGCATATTTTCACGTAAACCTGCATTAAGAGTCTTGTCGAGATAATCAGTGAAAGGAATTTCTAACTCAGTATGCATTTGGTAGAAACGATCAGAGTCAGGGATGTGTGTGTAGACAATTCCCGGTTCTGTTAGGGGAGGTGAGGCTCTACAACTTGACAGGAATGTGGAGAGAATAACAAGCAGTCTGGTGAAGAGGCAAATTATCGTAGAAAGTCTGGAGTAATGTTGCAGAAAACATCCTGTACAGCTCCAACCTCCTCTGCTTCACCATCGTCTTCAAAAAGGGCTGTAAAAAAGTTTCTGATTCCAGTAGTACAAAAACTCCTCTTCGTCAAGCTCATGACGGTTCTTTTTTTTTTCCCCATCCTGCTATGACTCTTGTCAAACAGCTGCATTTCTAGCTCAAGGACAGCTCATTTTTGTCCTCATCAAGTCCTCTGAGCGCATGTGCCAGAATCAAATTCACAGCTTAGTTACAGTCACTGCTGTGGAATAGTGGCTCATCAATGTATTTAAAAAAAAAATGCCACAGGAAATAAAAGTGTCAGAGAAGAAAAAACATTTCAGTTTCAGACCTGTAAGACGTGCAATACGGCAGGAAAACGGGTCCCAGACATTAGATTTAACATTAAATGCAAAAAGAAGCTAATGTGCATGTGTGATATACAGTATGGCAACCTTAACTGGAGAATAACGCAAATCTGACCGGCTGACTCAAATACAGACTTGCATTTCAAGTTCCGCGGGCAGAAAGAAAACCTGAGGAACTGAGATGTTGCACTATGAAATGTATTCAGTTTGATTTATGTTGAGTGTGAGAAATCTACAGTTCAGGTGTGAAGCAACCAGTTGATTCCTCTAATATTTATGTGTAAGGCATTTCTCTGTTAGTCTCCCACAGCAACGGGAGCTTGCAGTACAGTACTACAAAACGAAACAGCAACCAGTAGAAATCAGTGTTAGTCTAATGATCACTTCCAGAGTCCTCAACAATGCAATGCCTTGTTAGTTGTGACACAGTACTTGTCCTGGTGGAGTAGGTGTAAAACAATTTAAAAAAACAAACACAATAATTAAGTTGGAGTGTAAAAGTCAGTCAGGCTCCGTAGTTTCAGATGAATTCCCAGCACCAATGAAGATTCTTGCAGTAATAAAAATCAGCCAAGGATTGTGGAAACTGGAACTTCAAAACTGAACTGACTACTGAGAGGGGAGATTTGATGATCTGCAGGATTCCTTAAGGAGGAGCGACTGAAGGGTAAGCCATCTATTAAAAATGATCAAGCGACTGACTGGATGAATGGATGGCTGACAGACGTCAGTGCTGCAGACGGGATGAGTCCAGTGTCGTCTAATTTGCTGGAGGATTGTTGGGATCTGGTCGGCTGTTGGCCAGGTACTTCGCCCGCATGCTGGAGGTGTACTGTGGAGAGAACAGACAGAGAATGACACACACGAGAAATCAGAGAGAGAATCAATCAGAATTTCACTCTAGGAAACATCATTGACTTTATAAGAACTTCCATGTAGGATTGTCTCATTTTTATATTATTATATGACTGAAATTGAAAGACATATACATACTTATATAATTCTATATAAGAATATATTTCTGTTGGAATAGGCTCGGTGCTTTGACTGAGTAATGAGGTAATCATTGTTTCCGCAGCAGTAGAGGAACATAAAAATACACATATTGGACATGCACGATGAAGCACTACAGAACACAACTCATTTATCAGATCAGAGAGAATCCTACAGATTACCTTCCAGTTACTAGTTACTCCAGAGTGCTGGAATCTAAAGGGATTGTAAATAATTAAAATACAGAAAGAACATCACAGAAACAGCTACAGAGGACAAGGACAGCAGAGTACAAGGAAGTGTATAAATGTACATCAGTTTCAGAGGCAGTTCTTTCACTTTTTGTTGTTTATCCTCATTGCACATTGGCAGGAGTCATTCATATACATTTAGGATGCATCCATGCATTTTGGAATACAGGCCATACAAACACAAAAAGGCTGCATTTCAAACTCATATGGAAACATTAAGTTGATCTGGTTGTTTTCAGGAACATTTTTAAATGTTGTGACACCCTTCAGAGCCACTTGATGAAAGCTGAGAATGGGGACCAATATGGGCCCAACGAAACCAAACGACTTACCTTAATTATATTAAAGAAACAAGTTTGTATTTTTAATCTCCAACTCCTACTATATGCTTATATTGAGTAGTTTGTATTTGAATAGTATAAAATATTTGTTAGTGGTGTGAGTTTAAAAGAGACAATAAAACACTGAATATACAATAAGGCTAATTTTGTAGTTATGCCACTAAATACAGCGGCAGACACATACTTGCTGTATTAAACTGCTACAAAGGCCACACGAGAAAATTCCCAGTGATTCATAGTTGAATCCTGAATGCCTATAAAATGTAAGCGTCATATATTTTATACTCTTAACCCCATGAGTTCACCCTCAAACCCAAGAATCAAGACAAAGCAGATCCACGTGATCAGTGAAACAGTTTAACAGCTTCTTAATCTGACTTCACAGTGAGCCCCAGGGCAGAGTTACAGCTTCACACGTTCCTCCCAATAGATCTGTGGTGCAGGGGGGTCAGGGGAACATGCAGCCCAGGGCCACAGGAAACAAACATCAGGTGAGACACCAGGTGGGACACTTAGCAAGAATCAGGACACATGGGGAGTGGGGTGGGGTGGGGTGGGGGTCCAGCAGCTCTTGCGGGACCTGAATAAAGGGTGAGTAGAGCTGGGAGTTTGGGAGGTGGTACAGAAGAGGAACAGGCCAGCAGGTGGAAGAGGCGGGCATGTTTTGTACCTGTTAGCATAGCAGATGAGGTTACCAAAACGATCTTGAACTCTCCGAAGGCTTTAACTGCCAGCTGTGACCGCTGTTACTGTCCGCGGCAGTCAAATACAACTGTATGGATTCGCAGAAAAAAAAAACAAAAAACGACAAGAAGAGAGTATAGAGAAGATACACAAAGCAGCGTCTAGGTCCAGGCAGACACACGGACACCAGGGAGGGTAGGATGTCTGGTAGAGGTTCAGGCCGGGGGGGGGCAGGAGGGAATGATTATGGTTTGTTGCATATATAGTTTCTAGCCCTGCAAACTTTCAGTATCAAGTCGAATTTGAAAAAAGTTTTTGCGCACCTCTGTACTAAAACAAAGAAATCCTGCACACTGTTCAACACTTTTTTCACTTGGGAAAAACATGATGCAATCAGAGGACGCCAATAACACTTCCTAGTAAGCATAAAAATGTGACACTCCAGGTGAGAGCCTGCAGTCTAGATATGAATGGGGCTGTTTGACTACAAGAACTTTACCTGATAAAGGTCTGAGGACCAAAACATTGTCAATAAAATGAGTACAAGTGATAGACAGTGTGTGGGATTCTTTGTTTTCTTTTAAACTTGTATCAAGACAGAAAACATTGCCATATGAGATATACATTCAGTTCATGTGCAGTGAGAATCTGACACTTTACTGATGCATGGAAATTAATTGTTGTTCTGCCTCCCTCTCCATAAAATGTGTGCTGCTAGAGCTGGAAGAGATTGATCGTGTCACTCACTGTATGGCAGGGTGTATGCTTACAGAACAAGAGCTCTGTATGAGGAATAATGTCTCCAGATACTGGTTCACTGGCTGCCCAATTCCAATACTAATGTCCTACCATACTACAGTAGTGCTATATACTGTTAGAGGCACGTCATCATATCAAGATGGCATCATAATGTTTATCCGGGTTTCTAAATGTATGTTTCTGTGGCTCCTATGTTAATATGTATGCTGTTCTTATCAGGTACAGTGATATACAGAAGAAGTCAGGGATCTATGTTGTTAAATAGAATGTTAACAAGGCAGCAACTCTCTCAGGGAACCGAGAAGCTTTTGAGGAACTCAAGAACTAAACCTGCGTTTCAACCAGAAGAACCAGGGCCTAATTTAATTCCTGTAGGACAGTTTTGGTTGTAAAAAAAAGGGGGGGGGGCAGTACTTTCTGATTGTTCAGGAGATATTGAGTCTGACTGTCACTGATCAGTTAAACACAGTACTCCAACTTGTGTACTGCTTCACTCTCAAGACAAGAAAGTACTGGGCGCTGCTAGTATTTATATTAGGATGATGTGTGGACAGTTCTTGATATTTACTAATGTTCAAAACAAAGTTGGTGCGTGAATGAGCTGACAGCTTGAGAGAACGAGAGACAAGGAAGCTGCAAGAGCGAGCAGAGCAGAGAGTGGCGAAGAGGAGACAAAGTGAGCGAAGGAGAGTAATAAAACAATTTGCTGATGGTTTTATGGCGTAAAACAGAAATAAATGACCATCAAACACTCAGCATAATGCCTACTGTGGAGTTTTCAGTCTCCTTTCCTTCCTGTTTTTGATACATTTATTACATCAAACTCATACATCAAAAACATCTGAAAATTGAAAAATTTCAAACGCTGCTGTTGTTTTTAAATCTGTCATTAGTCTAATTTCTCTAATCTTTAAGGTTCTCAGATGAGGTGGAAACGCACACAGGATTGTGCAAAGTTCCTAGTTTAGTTCCTGAGTTTAGTTCCTCTGGTTCCATAGTTCCTGCAACACTTTGGTTGAAAAGGGCTACTGGTCAGTCCTTCACAAAAAGCTGTGGAATGACCCAGAGGTGTCAGTTCTCATGTCTTTACAAAATATACACAAATGCGATTCTTACCGAGGGGGGAGGAGACTCCCGTCCTATCAGAGGTGTGTTTTCACAGCGAGAGTTCTGAAAGTTGGCGTTCTGAGCCCTGTTGAATTAAACACACAGTGAGATCAGACACAACAAGCCAAGAAGTGCATAAAACTGTCACACACTGCTTTAAAGATATGAAACAACATACGGTATACATGACTAACTCAAGTCAGTTTTCTGCATACCAAGGCCTTATGATACAGAGGCAGAAACATGGGGATCCCCTCCCCCAGTTATCCTAACACTGACCTTCACTCATGAGGCGGAGGGGCTTTGGGTTTCACAGCCATCACAGCTGGGGAGCAACAGCTGCATTTGCCGGCCACTGCAGAGAGCTTAGCTGGCTCCTGACTACATGAGGTGTCTAATATCAGCCACACTGTGCATAACCCAGGCTGGGTTGTGAAAATAAATTATCTACCATTTGTGCCTTTCATTTAATGCAGCTCTCTATTCAGATTCACAGTAGTGTGAAGTTACTTACATGTACTCAGTGACAGGTGCGTTGCTGACGGTGTGGGCTGCAGCGGGGATGGAGGTCTCACTGCCGTAGCTGCTGCCACAGCTGTACAGGCTGGGCATGTGGACCCGGTACAGGTTATCATGGTTTTGCCTTCCCCCGTGGCTAAGAGACTCATCCTCAATGTCCTCGTCGCTCCTGCAAACATCACACAACATTGTCAAATCACCACCACCAGAGGGACCCCACGTCCCATCTGAGTGAAGATAAAGAGGAGCATAGAAGCGCCACGTGGTCACGTTTTTGTGTTTATTCTCAGTCACATTTTGATTCAGTTTCATCACTGCCTGAGGGAGAGAAAACAAGAGCAATTCGATGCTGTGTGAAGCAAAGAAGATGCAGTTTTCCCACTGACCTTAATGGGACTGAACTAAGAGTAAAAATAGCCTCATGTAATTGGTTCAGTTTCTGCAGGAAGAGTCATAATTTTCTATCGGGACAATAAATATATTTGTTCATGTTGTCAAATAAAAGCAGAAGGCTACTTCTGCAGAAAGAATGTGATTTCACTTGATTCTTTTCAAACAATGAAGCTCCACAGTGTATGTGAAATAACAATAATGCACTGAACACGTTCTGTCGGAGCAACAATGACACCGACATCATGGAGCCTGTCTCCCCCTAGTGTTCATCCCACAGGCTTTTTCCTACATATCTATTCCATGAGATCATAGATTTTCATTCAGTGCGTCAACAATAGAGTTACTTATGCATATCAGAGGAAATGTCACTTATCCATTAATTGATTAATAATACTAAAACTATTCTATTCTATTCTATTCTATTCTATTCTATCACCTTGAATATTAATCATAAACGTCATCTAATTCCAGATATTGTAAAAGAAATGAGTATGCTTGCATCATGATAGCAGTGGAAAAGAGAACAAGCTTAGCAGGGACCAATAAGAAAAACAGACTGGTAGCATGTAAGCCATTGCTTTCTAACAGGAAGCTCCAACTGAGATCAAACTGATAAACATGCCCCCCAATGGTTAGGAGGGATCAGTTAATTATGTGGTGCAGCTGAGTTGACAGGCTGTGCCTGGGAAACCACTTTCCCTGTATTCATCCTGAAAACATTATCTGTTGCCGATAGGACAAAGAAATCAGAATAATGTCACCCCTCAGCTGCAGAAAAAGACACCAGCTTTGGGGGTAGTTATGATAGATTTAGGCCAACTCGGCAAAATTAGGGGGGATAACGGGAAGCAATCTATTTGAGGAAGCAGCTGGAGCCTTCTGGACACGTCCCAGTGGTAAACAGCATGTCTTTGAATAGCGAACAAACACAAGTTTTACACAAAAATTATTGTGTTTCCCTATCTGTGTCGATTTATCCTGAATGACTTTGTCTGCTCCATTCCCATGCCGTGTAAAACAAGTGGTGAAGATGCTATAAAAGCATAACTAATTGATAGGCTTATCCTCTTAAATTATTTCTCACTGTATACACAATCCTGCATACAAATTCAG